GCTAACTTTTTGTATTTTTAGTAGAAACGGGGTTTCACTATGTTGGCTAGACTGGTCTCAAACTTCTGACCTAGAGATCTACCCACCTCAGCCTTCCAAAGTGCTGAGATTACAGGTGAGAGCCACTGCACCCAGCTGAACTCCAAAGAGACCGTGTGAAAGGAGAGTCAGTGCAATAAATCACTGTTGTCTGATTTTAAGAAATTGCCTCAGGCACTCCTACTTTCAGGAACCATCACCTTGATAAGTCAGCAGCCATCAATATTCAGGCAAGACCCTCTGCCAGCAAAACATTTATGACTTACTGAAGTCTCACTGATTGCATTTTTGAGCAACAAAGTATTTTTAAAATAAAGATATGGACATTGTTTCTAGAAACAATGCTATTGCACCCTCAACAGACTATGGTAAAGTGTAAACATAATTTTTATATGCACTGGGAAACCAAAAAATTTGTGTAACTTGAATTATTGTGACACTCACTTTTTTGTAATAGTGGAAATGAACCCACAATTTCTCCAACCTATGCCAGCATTTCCTTTGAGAAAAGCGAACTCACTGAAAAGTGGCATAGTGAAAATGATATGGCTCCAGTGACTAGAGGAACACCAGGGTCCTTGGTCTTGTGCCAATTTAGATAAAATGACACGGACACATATGGAGTGGATTTAAGGAACAAAGAGTTTATTTTTATTTTTATTTATTTATTTTTTTGAGACAGAGTCTCCCTCTGTCTCCCAGGCTGGAGTTCAGTGGTGTGATCTTGGCTCTTGCAACTTCCGCCTCCAGAGTTCAAGCGATTCTCCTGCCTCAGCATCCCCAGTAACCAGGACTACAGGCGTGTGCCACCACACTAAAAAAAAAAAATTAATTTTTGTATTTTTAGTAGAGACGGGGTTTCACCATATTGGCCAGGCTGGTCTGGAACTCCTGATCATGTGATCCACCTGCCTTGGCCTCCCAAAGTGCCGGGATTAGAGGCAGGAGCCACAATGCCCAGCCAGAACAGAGAGTTTAATAGGCAAGAAAGGAAGAAGCAGCCTCCCTGGGGTGGGGGGAGGTGTCCAAGCCAAAAGAGGAAATCCTGAGTGCCTCTGAAAACAGCCAGTTATATTAGGAGGCTGGAGGAGACATTCTTTGATTTGCATAGAGCCCAGGGATTGGTTTGATGAGGCATGTCATTCAGGTAGGCCCATTAAAAAAACTGGCCCTTTCACCCTAGCCTTTTAATATGCAAATACAGGGCACCTTGATGTTCTGCACACATGGGTGGGGATATAGAGGGGCAGCCATGTTGCCAGGCGCATGTGGGGACAGGAGGAAGATGATGGAAATCATCTTGTTTGGGTGGACCCAGTTTCTAATGGCCTGCATTTCATGTTAAAGCTTGCCTGCCTGGCTCTAAGAGCTGGGGATTTCCTGCTAGACAAAAAACATTTCTGGAGCTGCTTTAAAAGAAACAAAAACTTTCCCAAGAACCTCTTTTCGTCTCTATATGCCTAAAATAATTTCTTATTAACTTCTATAACAAAAGATACTTCAAAAGGGTCATACCTGAGAAGTCTGCTTGTTGGGTTGTGGTAATTTTTGCATAAATATTCTAGAAATATATGCATGAGGTGGGAAGTGGTGGTTGTGAACAGATCATGAGACATCAGCTGAAGTATGCATTAATTAGCTCAGAAAACTGGAGATTGAAGGTCTCCAGTGGGAAGGAGATTTTAACAAACTCACCAAAAGTAACTCATAAGGGAAAGAGCTAACCAAAAGCACCAAAGCTGGACTAAGATTTTGTTGCCTTTCTTTTTCCACTGCATTGGAGGAATTAGAAGCAGCTGCGGTGAGGAGCAAGAGACATAAATTGTTTATAGACACATTCCTTTGTTCCAAACTGCAGTTTTGTGAACATAAGTCAGGCATGAGCTGGGGTTGGGGAGAAGATTTAAATCTGAAGTGACAATGAAATTTTGAAATCGGTTCCCAGGTTAAGCTTCATATCGACTAAAAGAGTAAGCTCATAAGGTCCACAGTGATGGACATTTTTGATGCACTAAAATGCTCCCCAAGCAATCAAGTGAATTTTCAGATCCATGAGCTTTATAGCAATCATACTGTAGCCTTTTCCAAGAAAGGACCATTCCAGAAGAATGGCTGTAACACTGTTGACTTAAGGACTAACTGGAGCAAGCCCTGTTTGTCAAAAGCTAAAACTCTTGAGCTCATAAATAAGTTCGAAGTCAAGTGAACCTTTAAGCAGAGTGCTATGAGTTGAATTATGTTCCCTAAAAATTCATATGTTGACAGCCTAACCACCTGTGTCTAAGAATGTCTTTACAAAAATAATCAAGTTAAAATGAGGTCATTAGAGTGGACCCTAATTCGATACATTGTGATGTTCTTATTAAAGGGTGAAATTGGAGAAAAAACAGGCATACTGGGCGAATGCCATATGCACAAAAGGAAGGTCATCTATAAGCCAAGAGGAGAGGCCTAGAACAGATTCTTCCCTCACAGTGCTTGAAAGGAATTAACCTTGCCAATGTTTGATTTTGGACTTAGAGTGTGCAAAATTGTGAGACAATAAATTTCTGTTTAAGCTACCCAGTTTGTGTAACTTTGTTATAGAAGCCCTAGTAAACTAGGGGGCTTGTTACATGAAGCAAGTACTCCCAGCTCAAGGAGGATTTATTGAATTTGGACACTTGGCTGATAGGGAGAACTGATGAACTCTTTTAACACACCCAATCTGTGCCAGAATTTGAAGTGTGACCCTCAGGCAAGGCTCAGGAAACTCTCCTTTCTTTCTGGAATAAACTTTTTAGGATCACTACCACTTTTATTTATCTATGGCTTTTTTCATCCTACCATAACAAAAAGAAGGAATTGCAATGGCCTAGAAAGCCTGAATTATTTACTTTCTATTTCCAGAAAAAGCTTGCCTTGCCTTGCTTAAAACAAGGGTGCTGATTAAGGATCCTGCCTGCTGGGTGTCAATAGAACGAATGCAGCAAATGATCTGATCTGAACATAAACCCACAGGATCCCCAGATCATGACACCTCTCAGTGTTTTCTTAGAGTAGATCTGGACGGTATGGATTAAGAGGAAGAAGTTGAGACACCTTACCCCCCTGTTCCTCTCCCTAATAAGATCAAACTGAATTCAATGGAGGAAGACTTTCCAGAGAACAAGAAGCAAAGGCACTAAAAGAAATAGTTGGAAAATGATACCTAGAAGACTGAGCCGCAATCTTGAAGCACTGTGACTTAGCCAAAATTTGGGGATCTGCTAACAAGACATTGAAAAGGAAAGTTCCTGTAAGCTCCATGACCTTTGTGAAAAGGCCATTGAAGTGAGACAGAAAACCAAGAGGACCACTGAGAAACTGCAAAAAATGTATCCCCTAATTGGCAACACCTACTTTAAAGAAAAATGTAATACTATCATAAGTTCTACAATAAATGTTGATCATAGCACTGAACTCACAATATGCTAAAAAAATGTCAGTACAGGAGACAGAAAATATCCTGATGAACAAGAATGACTGGTATATGTTAATCCTGACTTGTCTTTGGGAAAAAAAGGGTAAGTACAGTAAATGCATCAGAAAGGGGACTCTCTCCCACTTCATAAGCATTAAATATTAAACAAGCTGTCCAACAGAATCCATAACACATTGAGGTATGCAAGAGTCAGGAGTTGGCACTAAAGGACTGGGAATTATGGATGAACCTAGAGCTCTCATATTCTCACGGGTTGTATAGAGAAAGCATAGGAGCCATGAAAAACGTGGATATATTCCCGAAGGCATTAAACTTAGACTCAAGCTAAAAGGAGATAATCAGCAATGTCCAATGTGACAAGAACGATTGATGTGATAACCTTGTCTTTAAAAATTTTTTTCAATTAAATAGAGATGGAGTCTCACTCTGTTGTTCAGGCTTGTCTCGAACTCCTGGGCTCAAGTGATCCTCCCAGTTTTGCTTCCAAAAGTGCCAGATTACAGGAATGGGCCACGGTGCCTGGCTGACATGATAACCTTGATGATGGGAAATGGGGAGGCATATCTGACCCTAGGTCCAAAAAATAATGGGTATCTTAACCAAGAGGGCCCTTCTGGCACACATGTGTAAGCAATATGTGCATATCTTTTATTGGTCAGGTTTAAAAGATGCCAATGAAAAGCAGTATCCATAAAAGGGATCTGGTTGAAATATATCTTTAAAAAGTCTTCAGAGGCTTAATTAAGCAGTCTGAAGTAAAGACCAACATAGTACTGAATGATTCCAATGAAATATAAATGAGCAGCTTAGTCATTTTTTCCTAACAATTAAGAGAAAACTCAGTAGTTTACAAGTATGATTGTTAACTTGTGACTCTCTGGACTATGCTTTAAGCACATGGATTGGTTTGTTTGCAGTGGGTAAGATGAAGATAAAAATCATCGAAGTTTGATTTATATAAATAAGAAGTATATATGGAAAGCAATCTTTGCCTATATGCGTTAGTACTATGCATATGTGTGTGTGGATATAGAATGAAAAAAATGCGTAAATCCAGTACATCTACTTTAGTTATATAAATAATTATTTACATTTTTTTAATTGCCATGTCTATAACACAAATTAATACAATCTTAGTACTGGCCTAAATTCTGGTAATCTTCTTATACAATTAGATAGGCTGATGTGGTTCCTATTTTAAAAATTTGTTTTTAACTCTTTTCTAATCCTTTGGTATTCATGATTGGAAGTAGTTGCTAATTTAGATTTCCTCATGGAGCACAGTAAATATCAGAGATCATCATAATCGCCTCTATAGTCTTAAATTATATTTTAAAATGTAAATGCAAAAGTTAATTATTTTTTAGAGGACCTGATGTCATCCTTGGGAGTAATTTTTAATTACTTTTTATCCTTCTTGGAGTTGATTGTATTAATTATTTGTACTGGCTTAACAATACCATGTGGAAATTTTTTTTTGACATTTCTTCTGTTTCAGTTGATTTATCATTAGTGAATAAAGATGAAAATGCCATCTATTTCTTGGGAAATTCTCTTGGGCTTCAACCAAAAATGGTTAAAACATATCTTGAAGAAGAACTAGATAAGTGGGCCAAAATGTAAGTATTATTTTAAAAGCTACTATACTATATCTCATACAAAAATTTATAAAATCACATTAGGTTGTCTAATATTTGGAAAGATGTGTAACGGAATCCTAGTACAGTCACCCCTTGGTATCTGTGGAGCATTAATCCCAGGGCCTCCCTATGATTCCAAAATCCACAATGGTCAAGTCCCTTAGATACAAATTGCATAATATTTCCATAGAACCTAGGCCTATTCCGCATGCTTTAAATCATCTCTAGATTACTTACAATTCCTCGTATAGCATAAATGTTATATAAATACTTGTTATACTGTATTGTTTAGGGAATAGTGGCAAGAAAAAATTTCTGTACATGTTCAGTATATATGCAGCCATTCATATTTTTCCCCAAATATTTTTGAGCCGCAGTTGGTTGAATCCACAGATAGGGAGCCTGTGGATACAAAGAGAAACATTTAGCTGCTCAATAGTCTAATTTTATTGATGAAATAACTGATGATCAGAATAAGGTGACATGGCAAGTTAGTGGTAGAGTCAGGACCAAAACTTTTACAATATTTAAACATTTAAGTTTCTCTCTTGTGTTGACATCTCTAAACCACATGTAATCATTTTATTTTATTTCTTTAATAATTAACAGAGGAGTTAATGTTTAGAAGCTTCATCTCTTCACAATTAGGCTAAATTATGAATACTTATTTTTGTGATAACCAGAAATAGTTTTAAAATATTTTCTGATTATTTGAAACTGAAAAAATCGATATGAAGGTGAGCCAAACATGATGGTCATGAAAAAGTTTCAGAAAGATGAAACCAAACCAAATAGAATTTCAGAGGAAAATAGCTGTGACAGAAACTCAGAATACTTTCTTTACCTTTCTTCATTCTTCATGCTACTGGTTTTTCAAATTGAGAACAGTATCCCATTCTTTTCAAGTTTTGTAGGCCAGGCACGGTGGCCCATGCCTGTAATCCCAGAACTTTGGGAGGCCGAGGTGGGCAGATCACCTGAGGTCAGGAGTTTGAAAACAGCCTGGACAACATGGTGAAGCCTCATCTCTACTAACAAAATACAAAAATTAGGCCGGGAGTAGTGGCTCACACCTGTAATCCCAGCACTTTGGGAGGCCAACACTGGTGGATCACCTCAGGTCAGGTGTTCGAGACCAGCTTGACTAACATGGTAAAACCTCATCTCTACTAAAAATACAAAAATTAACCTGGTGTGGTGGTAGGCACCTGTAATCGCAGTTACTAGGGAGGCTGAGGCCATAGAATCAGTTGAACCCAGGAGGCGGAGGTTGCAGTGAGCGGAGATTGCACCACTGAACTCCATCCTAGGTGATAGAGTGAGACTCTATCTGTATCCATGGGCTCCCTATCTGAGAAGCATTAGTTCCAGGGCTGCCCTATGATTCCAAAATCCACAATGGTCAAGTCCCTTAGATACAAAGGGCATAATATTTCCATAGAACCTAGGCCTATTCCGTATATATTAAATAAATAAATAAATAAAGTTTAGCTTACACTGACCATGCAAATGATTACAACCAAGGCTACTAGATAACACTGCAAAGTTATTAATTTTAGTGATTAAAAATGTAATTTCACAACTTGATGCAAGAATGATAGTTTATATAATTTATTAATCATATTATAATTTTATCTGTATAACTTTTATGCATAATTTGCAAAATATGTATCACCACATTTGCTCTAGCAGGTTTTAGTATTTAATAAATGGGGGTCATAGTTAATAAAAATGGTTAATATTCATTTTTGGCCTTAATGTAAGAGACGGCAAATAATTAGATTGAACAGATTTGAACTTTATAGAGTGTCCTTGCCTCTTGGATGTTCATTCAGCAAGGCTGTGCATTTTTATCCTCTAGGCATTTAAAATATATTCTGCCCTGCTATTCTCTTCCTATCTTTATGGTCATCCTACTTAAGTAAGAAACCAGTTGATTATTTTCAAGACTTTAAAGTTGCATTTCAGGAAAGCACCTCTTGCCCTTCTATTGTTTTGTCTTTTATATTTCACCTTGTGATGATAGAAAATTTCATCTTTTTAATTAATCCTTCTTACTGAGTTTTCATTAGACCGATGATTCAGAAAGTTTGTCTATTTTAATGCTTCAGACAATGTACAGTGAATTAAAGAAGACTACTAAGCAAATGGATATCTATTCCATCCTCGCTTTGTTCATTTTATTTAGTCTTCTTGTTTTAATCTGTAGTGACTCAGTCAACATCATGGCCCTGCCCATAAATGTCCGCGGTGTTAGGGGTGCCCGATCACATGCCTGTTCTCCCTACCTCACCAACCATTTTTGATCCCAAAAGGCTTTCCTCGTTATTATTTTTTACCTCCCTAATATTTAGCTTAAAATCCAACTTCTGAACTTTTCCAGCTGAAGTTCTGTTGGGAGGAAACTTTTTCCTACCAAGTACTTAGGTCAAAGTGATTGAGGGCCTGCCAATTAATTGACAACAGACAGGTTAACAGGAGAAAAGTTTATTTCACACTCAGAAGAATTCTACAAGGGGTAGTTTGCTGAACAGCCACAAGTAAAGGCTTATACCAGCTTAACTAAAAAGAAGAGCTTTAGAGCTTCAGTGGGAAAATACAAAAGTTTCTATTGGGCTTTTTCATCCTGATGCTAATGGGCAGTATCCTTCCTAGCTGGAAGCTCCCGAGAGGGAGATGAATAGCAGCTGAATTTGTACCTCCAGGTGCTAAGGTCCATCTAACTCTGAGGATGGGTCAGTGGCAGCTGTATTTTTAGGAGGCTTTGCTTAAGTTTAGATAGCATTACTTTCTGTGGCTGCTCTTTGTTCAAATGTGTTCAAAGTAGTCAGATCAGGCATGGCGGCTCATGGCTGTATTCCCAGCACTTTGGGAGGCTCACGTGGATCACTTTAGCCCAGGAATTAAAACCAGCCTGAGCAACAAAGGTACAGGTGCAGTGGCTACCGTCTGTAATCCCAGCAGTTTCGGAGGCTGAGGCGGATGGATCATAGGAGCCCAGGAGTTCCAGACCAGCCTGGGCGACACTGTGAGATCTCATCTCTACAAAAATTAGCTGGGCATAGTGGCACATGCCTGTAGTCCCAGACACTGAGGTCCTAGAGGCTGAGGTGAAAGGATGACTTGCTCCCAGGAGGTCAAGGCTGCAGTGAGCTGTGATTGTGCCTCTTCACTCCAGCCTGGGCTACAGCAAGAGCCTGTCTTTAAATATATACATACATACAAGCAGTCTTCATGACACTTTAGTGGGCTGTTGATCTCTTCATTTTTCTTTCTGTCTGTTGCTTTGTTTTTTGTGCTAAAATCAAACCCTGCATGTGTTCAGCTGCCTCCAGATCCAGGACCTGCCCTTATTGTGGTAAGTTTTGCCTGATCGTTTCTTCCTCTTTGCCTCCCTCAGTGCTGCTTCTGCTCTACTTCTTGGCTGATACTCAAGCCAGGTCAGTGACCCACTTTCTTCTTTACTGATAGATTATGGAAATTGCTGAGTAAAAAACAGCTACACATTTACTAAATACTATAATGCACATTGAAAGTAGTTGCTTAGTTGAAAAATGTAATGCTAAAAATGTATAATCTTGACCAGGCACCATGGTTCAATACTGTAATCCCCAACACTTTGGGATGCCAAGGCAAGCAGATTACTTGAGCTCAAGAGTTCAAGACCAGCTTGAGCAACATGGTAAAACCGTATCTCTACAAAATATACAAAGATATTTAGCTGGACCTAGTGGCACATGCCTGTAGTCCCAGCTATTCTGGAGGTTGATGTGGGAGGATTGCTTGAGCCTGGAAGGGTTGGGTTGCAGTGACCCTAGGTTGTGACACTGCACTCCACCCTGGGCAACAGAGTGAGACCTAGTCTCAAAAAAAAAAAAAAAAAAAAAAAAAAAAAAAAATATATATATATATATATATATATATATATATATACATATATATATAATCTTAACAGTAATATAAAAATTAGAGTGCTTTGCCAAAGCAAGATTTTACACAGGCATATAGATGTCAAATTTCTGTCCATCCAAATACTATAAAGTAGGAAATGCCATTTGGCTCATGGATTCCACCTTCTCCAGTTTTATGGCCAATTGTAGACGTACTGCCTACCAAACTTAATTATTGAATAAATGATTTTTTGTCATAATACAGCCTATTTTTGTAATTCATATGGCTACCATCTTTGATTTCTTATACTAAGGAAAAGCCAATAATAGAGGTACAACTAGAAATATTTTAGCATCTGTCTTAGTTTGTTCCCATTGCTATACAAAGTACCTGAGACTGATAATTTATAGAAAAGTGAAATTAATATTCTTATAGTTCTGGAGCCTGGGAAGTCCAAGATCAAGGTGCTAGCAGACTTAGTGTCTGGTGAGGTCTGCTCTCTGCTCCCAAGATGGTACTTCTTGCTACATCCTCACATGGCAGAAGAGGCAAACCCCTGCCTCCCACCTCTTTTATAAGGGTCCTAATCCCATTCATGAGGGCCCTGCCGTTATGACTGAATCACCTCCTAAAGACTCTACCTCTTACCCTGCACATTGGCAGATCAAGTTTTAACATATGAATTTTAAGGGGACACTTCCAGATGATAGCAGAACCAAATGATTTCTAAAACACGCTTACTTAAGGCAACCTGTGAAAATAGTTTTCTTAGAAGCTTTTACCTCTACATTAGTTTTAATTTTTTTTGAAACTTTTTTCTTTTTATTTATTTATTTATTTATTTTAAGAAATAGAGAAAGGAAGAAAGAGAAAGAATTGAAAAAAAAGAAAGAAAGAAAAAATGAAGGAGAAAAAGAATGAGGAAGAGGGAGAGGGAGAGAGAACTGGGGTGTTGCTTTATTGCCCGGGCTAGAATGCAGTCTAAAAATGAGTATGCCTGTAATTGTGTTTAGTAATAGAGACAAGGAAAAAAAAATGAGGGAAGAAAATAACTAACAAGCAGCCAACCAATATTTCATTTAAACCTG